GTATGCTTCTTCGTCTTCGACTTCTTCGTCTACTTCGTCTTTTCTTCATCTTCTACTTCTTCGTCTTCTTCGCTTTCTTCTTTTTCGTCGTCGTTTTCTTCGTATTCGCTTCTTCTTCTTCTTCGTCTTGTTGTTCTTCTACGTCTTCTTTTTCTTCTTCCTCCTCTTCTTCTTTTTCGTTTTTCTCTTCTTCGTCTTTTTTTTCGTCTTTTTCTTCTTCTTCGCCTTACTCTTCTTCTTCTTCAGGTCATTCTATCAGTTCTTCGCATTCTTTTTTTACAAATCTCCCCTTCCTTAACCCTTTTTTTGTCTCCTTTTTTATATCTTTTTTTCTTCTTCATTTTAATTCCTTGCACATCATATTCTTCTTTGTTTCACCGACTATCTTTCATTCTTCTTCTTCTCCCCATCCTCCTCCTCCTCTTCTTCTTCGTCTTCTTCTTCTTCTGCTTCTTCCTCTTCTTCTTCTTCATCTTCTTCGTCGTTGTCTTCTTCTTCGTCTTTCTCTTCGTCTTCTTCTATCGCTACCAATTTGTATTATTATTTTTGTTCTCGTTTTTTTTAATTCTCCTTATATTCCCCTTCCATTCTCTTCATTTTTATTCATTTAACTTCTTTTTTATTCTTCTTCTTCTTCTTCTTCTTCTTCTTCTTCTTCTTCTTCTTCTTCTTCTTCCATAACTCTGCTTTGCAACACAAAGACCCCACACAAACAACCGGTCGCCCTAATCGATGACACCGAAGCTCAAGTGTGATTTGATTGGTTCTTCAAATATTCACACCAGATAAATCGTGGCGACCGGAATCAGTTCGACTCACACATTCTGGTGTTAGGCTGATAAGAGCAAGTAATGATTCGCCTTGTCAGTCTCAACTGGCAGTCGTCACCCACTGCCCCCGTGCGGTCAGTGGAAACAACAGATTGTATTAAGGATGAATTACGGTAAATCCCAAATGCTAATGTCGTGCGGTGAATGATCGGTGAACACCGCTTATTGCCATGTTGTTTTCGCTCGCTATTTCGACTTCTTTTTCTTTTCTTTTTTTATATGTTTTCTATAAATATATATTACAAATTTATCTGCTAGAAAGCGTAGTAAAAATATGGTTGCCGTTTTAAATATTTTATATCTTAAATTGCCCTACATTTTCGTTTTTGCAATTGTATAAAGCAACCTCTCACTTTAGCTGTTTCTTTGGGTAAATATCACTTTTGCTGTCGACTGAATATACATACACACACACACATACATATATATATATATATATATATATATAATACAAAAAGGTCAGAGATGAATCAAACCAGAAAACAGTAGAATTAAAAAGTGCTCAATACACGTGTGCAAAAATGAAATAAAAGTAAAAATAACATGTAGAGCTTTTAACTTTAAAACCCGTAACGTTGAAACCAAGGTAGCGTATTTAATTGACCTCTTGTTTTTCAAAGTATATATATATATATATATATATATATATATATATATATTATACACTATTACATTAGAACATGTAAATATCCACTACAAAATTGTACATTATGTTTTAATGTTAAAATCAAACGTTTCTTCAGGTGACTAACAATTTTGGTACTAAACTATTTTATTCAAAATTGCGATTAAATAATGTCTTAGTTCTATTGCATCTTTTATTTTACGATTCAGAACAGACTTTCCGTAACTGAGGGTCCTGTTTTAAATAAATAAAAAAAGTTGTTCATTTAATTTCTCCACTGAGATCTACTGTTAATAACTATCGACATTAATCAACACAAAATGAACTTCTCTAAATTCCATATAATCAAATAGGTAGAAAGGGTAACAGATGTAAAAAACATCTTGTTTTACATATATATATATATATATATATATATATATATATATATATATTACATTAGAACATGTAAATATCCACTACATAACTGTACATTTTGTTTCAACGTTAAAATCAAACGTTTCTTCAGGTGGCTAACAATGATGGTACTAAACGATTTTATTCAAAATTGCTATTAATGAAACACTGCTTCACTATCCGTTTTCGGAAAATTTTCCATCAAAGGTAAAAACATAATTTTATATAAAGGAAAAGGAAAGAATATATGAAATCAATAAAAAAAAGGAAAGAGAAAAGAAAAAGAAAAGAAAGTCAAACGAAAGCGAAGGGAATTAACTCTACTACGAAAAGAAAAGACAAAAAAGAAAGGAAAGAGAAAGAGAGAAGTCTGTTAAAAATTACTCAAATTCATTGGCCATCACACTGGGATCAAATTGTAGTATCTGTTCTCCTCATCTCTGATGGTAATCTTAAAACATACGGCCTTCATTGACCGAGCAGACAGTGCTATTGTCAGTTGAAATTTATAAAATCTTTACTAAAAACAATTTTTCATGAAAATAGGTTTCTTAAGTCCACTAAGTGTTATCTTTATTCCCAGTATTAATGGGAGTTTCCTTCCCAACCTTTTGTTTGATGTAGTGTAGAATGCTGACATCTTATGTCATTATTTTCTCTTCAAGGGGTATCCATTATAGCTATTGGTACTGTTGAAAATCTTCAAATGATCTGTTTTATGCTATTTGGTAAATATATGATTCTTTAGCGCCCGTCTACTAGGTCCAAAGAAAGATAGTCCATGCCAAGACCTCACTGGCCCGAATCCACCGTTGAGCGCAACGTTGATAGTTGTTTTATTGTTTGCTTAACGGTATATCAATTCCTCATGAGTCATTTAATGCCGAAATTTAATTTTCTTGGGAGATTTGAAGTAATAAAAATATGATATATGTTATTTGGCTTTCACAATAGAATACATGGTAGATGAAGCCGGTAGCTTATATCGAGAAACTTCCAAAGGGCTAAGGAGATTTTACGTTTTATGAAGGGTAAATATTTTTTTTTAAAAAATGGGTACATGTCGCCGTAAGTTCTATGCTAGCAGTTTCTTTTCTCGCACTTCTCACTTGTGGAAATCCCTTCTGGTTCCATGCTTTCCAATCGGCTTTAATCTTCAAAGACTTGCAATGTCAATCGCTATCTATTGACCTCCTGATTACTCTTTCGTCTTTCCACTCATTACTCATTGGATGACTCGCCATACGCATAAATATTTATATTTAGGCTCTACTTTTGTATCGAGCACTGTATTTTAAAAATAATAAAAAAAAATACTAAAGAACATTGGATTATTTATCTAACAAGTTCTTTCCTATTTTCTATATATTTTCACACACACACACACACACACACACACACACACACACACACACATATATATATATATATATATATATATATATATATATATATATATATATATATAAATACATGGATATAGATCCGACAGTATGAAGAAAAATATACTGAAAAAACAAACAAAAATCCTAATATGCGATTATGCTGTTTTAATGTTTAATTTCAACGTCGGACGTTTCGGTCTAATAGACCATCTTCAGGACATATTCATAAAACATAATTAACATTAGACTATATTCAATTCAACATGAAAAAGACGATGGACATAAGAGCAAGACCAATCCAAACAGATAACTGAAATCTTTTATAAGATCAGCGTTCCGTTTAAATATGATCACGTCGTCGTCACGTGGGTGATGTTGTGAAAACGTATTCCTAAAATTTGAGTATTTTGAATGAAAAACGAAAAGAATTTTATTTTGATCTAAAACTTATATGTACGTTTATCGAGCATTAATCTTGCTAGAAAAGGGGAAATATTAAAGAAGCCAGGTCTAGTGTTCACCGTGCGTAAGATAGATATTATGCCTGGTTCTGTGAAGATTTTAAAATATTTTCATAATAAAAATCCCTGATGATGGTCTATTAGACCGAAACGTCCGACGTTGACATTAAACAGCATAATCGCATATTAGGATTTTTGTTTGGTTTTTCAGTATATTTTTCTTCATATATATATATATATATATATAAGTAATTCATCGAGTCTAGAAGAAACCTCAACAGAATGCAGAAAGCACTGGACGGCCGTTTCGTCCTATATTTGGGACTCGTCACCGAGAATTGAAACCCGGACAGTTACGTTATCAGGCAAACGTCATACCAACTGTACCAACGGGCCTCGGCGGCGAAGCGGTAGCGAATCAGACTCGATATAGCGCCTTTCGATCACATATTCCGTGGTGGAACTCATCCGAGTTTCTCTTTTACCCATAGGACTGTGCCCCCACGAGCCACGACTACTATTCCCAAGCCACTCCATCCAGAGCATTAGAAGCAAGGATATGCAAGTGATAGAAATTAGGAAATATATATATATATATATATATATATATATATATATATATATATATATATATATATATATATATATATATATATATATAAAAAATGACAATTTAATTTATTTAAATACATTTATTTTTTTATATTTAAATGCTGTTTATTTATAAACAAGTATTTGCTTAAATACTTGTATCTATAAATAATAATTTGTTAAACATAAAAAATGTCTTTAATAAATAAATTGTCGGACTTTTGTCCATTTCTTAATATATGACGTCATTTGTTACATTTGATACGCCAGAGCAGTTATGAATGTACGAGATTCATGGAAGATTGAAGTTTATAAGCAGTAAATTCGACCTTGTCTACCGAAAAGGTTCTTTGTGGCCCAGAGGTAAGGCACGTCAGCGTAAATGACAGTTCCGTATAGGATGCAGGTTCGAATCCTGTCAAAGAACGAATATTTTCTATGAAAATTTCTCGGACATTCAGGCCGGTAAATGTTATTTAATACTGTTTATCATAAACAGAGCATTTGCTTAAATACTTGTATCTATAAATAACAACGTTGAACATAAAAAATGTCTTTAATAAATATATATATATATATATATATATCAATCATTGGTGAGTCATCAATATTTGTCGGGCTCATTACAATAATTAGCAAAATATACTATTGGTATAATTTAGATACTAAAAAGATTCCTCTACTCTAACTAAGAATTTTAAAAATATCTGTG